GCACACAATGTGCTGAAATGAAGGTAGACGTTCCTACAGTATAATGTAATATAAAGTAGTAAGTATAATGTAGTGTAGATTAATCTTTATCTGTTGAACCAGACAGCAGTTCAGATTCCATTCCAAGGCTGTCTCAAATGCAAAGGAGGTTAAAGGTGTCCCAATCTCTTCCCACTTTTATTTTGTTTTTTTCATGCTCAGAATCACACCAACAAAAATTATCCATTTTGCTACCAAATTTCAGCAGTACAATCTTAGTGTTAGGCAGGTCACAAGTGAGTTCAGGGCTTCCTCTATCTCAGTGATGGCGAACCTTTTAGAGACTGCAACCCAAAACCCACTTATGCATCGTCGAGTGCCGGGTGGGTGTGGCCCATTGGCTGGGCATGGCTGCGGTAGTAACGGCAGACTGGGTGGGACTAAAAAGTTCAATCAATCAATTCCAACTTTGCAAGATCTTTTTTTTTCCCATGAGAAGTTGAAATTGACTGATTGAACCTTTTTTTTTTTTTTTGCACATGGTGGCGGAGGCCTAAAGTGAAAAGGTTTTATAAAACCCAGCTGAAGGCCTAGGACTGGGGCAATGGCACACGTGCCACAGAGAGGCTCTGAGTGCCGCCTCTGGCACCCGTGCCATAGGTTCGCCACCACTGCTCTATCTGTTATCATGAAATGCCATGTGGTTTCATAACTATCCTGGTGCTATTGTTGTCGGAGACAACCAGGTGGAATTCTAAGGGTGGGGATGGGGTCAAATGTGTCATCAGTTTGGAATCATTATTGAAGGATTGGCTTCAATAGGGAGTTGGCATTGCTGCTGGATTTATCCAATAGGGAGTGGCACAGGTAGTGCTCGACTTACAACAGTTCATTTAGTGACCGTTCTAAGTTACAACAGCACTGAAAAAAATGACTTAGGACCATCTTTCACACTTATGACAGTGGCATCATCCCTATGATCATGTGATCAAAATTCAGGTGTTTGGCAATTGGTTCATATTTATGATGGTTGCAGTGTCCTGGGGTCATGTGATCAGCTTTTGTGACCTTTTGACAAGCGAAGTCAATGGAAAAGACAGGTTAACGTAACAACCATGCTACTAACTTAACAACTGCAGTGATTCATTTAACAACTGTGATAAAAAAGTTGTAAAATTGGGCAAACCTCCCTGAACAAATGTTTCACTTAGCAATGTACTGTAAATTCTGGCCTCAGTGGTGATCATAAGTTGAGGATTATCTTATCTGTACAAGGGCTATTTTTATGCAGACCCTCCATGTGAGAGGTAGCTTCTGGGATGGACAATAACATCAATAATCATCTGATTCTTAATTCTCACAAAGTGCCAGCAGCTGCAACCTGTCTCCCCCCACAATTATAGTTGGCTGGGGAATTCTAGGAGTTGAAGTCCTCACATCTTAATATTGCTAAGGTTAAGAAATATAGCCCATTGAAGCAACATCCATCTTGAGCAGAGGTCTTCAAACTTGGCCCTTTTATGACTTGTGGACTTCAACTCCCAGAATTCCTCAGTCAGCAATCCCTGACTGAGGAATTCTGGGAGTTGAAGTCCACAAGTCATAAAAGGGCCAAGTTTGAAGACCCCTGATCTTGAGTCTTGATTGGCCCTCTGGTTATATTGTATTTTGTTTGCTTTTGTTGATTTCCACTACAAATGGAACAGATGATAAGTATTGTGAAATTAAGAGATGAATGCTCCTTTCAGTTAATAGGGAAGGCTCATTTTGCTAGAGATTCAGCAGGTATTAAAAGGATACTGAAAGCAAACATTTGTAAAAAAACATTTTTTTCTGAGAAAGTTTGACCCATGTGCTTCTTCCAGAATAATAATTCATAAAGCAAATCTGAAATCTGCTTAGGGCCATTGACCCTGTTGCCAAGCGTGCAAAATTCTGGATTAATTCCACCCAGGTTGTCCTCGACTAAAGGGAAGGATAAGGAGCCTCTTTACCTCAGGGAAATTTTTGCTTAAGCAACAAGGGCTAGCTGAACTTTCATGTGTTGCTGGCCCTTCTTCTGTGATCTGGATGGTTCTTTAACAGAATAACAGACTTGGAAGGGACCTTGGAGGTCTCCTGGTTGAATCCTCTGCTCAAGCAGGAGAACCTATACCAGGGGTAGGCCACCTTGGTTCTTTTATGACTCGTGGACTTCAACTCCCAGAATTCCTGAGCCAGCCATGCTGAGGGGAAAGGGAGAGGTTTCCAAGCTGAGCCATGTTGGCTCAGGGATTCTGGGAATTGAAGTCCACGAGTCATAAAAGAACCAAGCTTCCTATCATCTAGGCCAGGGGCAGGCGACCTTGGCTCTTTTATGACTTGTGGACTTCAACTCCCAGAATTCCTGAGCCAGCTGTGCTGAGGGGAAAGGGAGAGGTTTCCAAACTGAGCCATGCTGGCTCAGGAATTCTGGGAGTTGAAGTCCACGAGTTATAAAAGAGCCAAGGTTGCCTACCCCTGACCTATACCTATAAAATAATAGAAGAAGAAGAATCAGAATAACAGAATAAAAGAGTTGGAAGGGACCTTGGAGGTCTTTTAGTCCAACCCCCCGCTCAAGCAGGAAACCCTATACCATTTCAAATAAATGGTTGTCCAATCTCTTCTTTAAAAACTCCAGTGCTGGAGCACCCACAACTTCTGAAGACAATCCCTTCCACTGATTAATTGTTCTCAATGTCAGGAAATGATTCCTTGATTCTAGGCTGATTCTCTCCTTGATTTGTTTCCATCCATTGCTTCTTGTCCAACTTGTTCAGACTAGCGGTTGTCCAATCTCTTCTTTAAATCTTCCTTCTCTGCCTTTGCTCCTATTGTTTCCCATTCCTCTATATTTCTCTTATTCTGGCTCCTCATTTGCCAAGTCCTGTTCATGATCATGGTCTTTGGTCTTGATTGCTAGTTCCCAACAGACTTCATCCAGACCGTTGGCCGTGACCCAGCTCTGACCCCATCCTATAAACTAGCCTGTTGGGCTAACAATTTTATTTATATCCTGATTTGCTAGCAAGTCAGGATCCCTCCAGAGCCAAAGTATAATAACCAATAGGTCTTGCCAAGGTTGGAGGAAATACCATTGGGTAAAATAAGAATCAGTGCCTTATGGCTTCAGGGAAAGCTGTTTTCCTCTATGGGAAATCTCCTTTGTTCAATAGGAGGGCCTGCATGTGGGATACACATCCTGTTTTCAGGCGCCTGTCGCTAGGAATGGTACATTGTGGAAGGGCAAGACCTTTGCTTGAACTTCTCTTTCGAATCCCATTCATGGCTTAAATAACAGCTGATGCATCATCATGCAATTAGGAAGCCACAGAATAGCTACCAAGAGCCAAAAAGGCTTCTGCCTCCAGCATTCTCCATCCAAGGAGACTTGGAACAAGCAATAAATCAAGATTTTTTTTAATGGAAAGCAGTATATAAATGTATAAGGTCAATAAACAAGAAGGCAAGGAAAGGAACTGAGTGAAGGGATATCAATTGGAAAAGACTACGTGTGAGTGATATCACCAGGCATCTTCCCAAAATGATTGTGCAAAAGAATATCCCAAAGTGAATCCAGGAGAGAAGCAACCTGGAATTAAGGAGAAACTTCCTAACAGTGAGGACAATTAACCAGTGGAACAGCTTGCCACCAGAAGTGGGTGCTTCATCACTGGAGAGAAGAGACTAGACAGCCACTTGTCTTGAATGGTATATTGTCTCCTGCTTGATCAGGGAGCTGGACTAGAAGACCTCCAAATTCCCTTCCAGCTCTATTATGATTCTGAATGTATGAAATACTGGGCAATTGAATGTGGTTTTTTTTTGCATTTATGTTAGAATCCTTTCATATTAATTGATTAGCCCTTTTGAAGACCAGTTAATGGAAGTGTGGGATGCAGAAAGTTCAAAATGGAAAAAAAAACATGATGTGGGGCTGAAGAAGGATTGGTCAAGAAGGAACAGTCCTGCAATTTCAACAGTACATGCTTTATCTTTCTATTTCTTGATTTCTTACTTCCTTATTCTCTGGAGTTCAAAGAAAGATGTGTACATGTTCAAAATTCAGCAATATTTCCTACTTGTGTTGGCGGCTTTGGTGATGAGGCAGTTTCCATGCTTGTAGTGCAACCTCCTACAGCATGGACATTTCATGCACTTATATAATTTTCCACATAAAATGGAACCTTCCAGCTCATAGAGAAGTCATCCCATTTGGAGCTAAGTTCCCCATTGTGGGGCAAACCTATTTTAAATATGTAAACCATGGCTTCCGTGATGTCACCAATGCAACCAGGGGATAGGAGGTGTTGCTGATTACTCCTACAGGGTTGGTTTCATTATGTAAAGAGATCTGATCAATATATTGAAGATCAAGATAATTTTGTTGAATGAGGAAAATGGGGTAGACTCATTTATTTATTTATTGAAAACATTTATATTATCTCCCTTCTTAAATCAAACTCTGGGCAGTTCCCAATCAACAATTAAAACAACATCAATCATAAAACAGCATAATACATATATTTATTAAAACTGTACACATTAAAAATCTGGCATCAGCAATAAACCCATACAGTTCTTTGTTAAATCTTCTTGTCTGTCTCACCCTATCCCAGTCTTCTTCTTCTTCTTCTTCTTCTTCTTCTTCTTCTTCTTCTTCTTCTTCTTCTTCTTCTTCTTCTTCTTCTTCTTCTTCTTCTTCTTCTTCTTATTCTTCTTCCTTCTTCTTCTTCTTCTTCTTCTTCTTCTTCTTCTTCTTCTTCTTCTTCTTCTTCTTCTTCTTCTTCTTCTTCTTCTTCTTCTTCTTCTTCTTCTTCTTCTTCTTCTTCTTCTTCTTCTTCTTCTTCTTCTTCTTCTTCCTTCTTCTTCTTCTTCTTCTTCTTCTTCTTCTTCTTCTTCTTCTTCTTCTTCTTCTTCTTCTTCTTCTTCTTCTTCTTCTTCTCCTCCTCCTCCTCCTCCTCCTCCTCCTCCTCCTCCTCCTCCTCCTCCTCCTCCTTCTTCTCATCCTCATCCTCATCCTCATCCTCATCCTCTTCATCCCGGTGCTTGGGATTCCTAAATGGCAAAAAAAAAAAAAAAATAGAGCAAGTAGATGAATTAGTATGTCTCTGTGAGATCTATTTACTACTAAAACTCTTGTATCTGTAATCTTTAACTGACAGAAATAGTGCATCATAGGGCAACAATATTTGAACCAAGGTACTTCAGATGGACTAACATACAGAATCTGTTTGAACTCCAGGACTCGTGACTCCCTTGGGATTGAAATTTGGCAATTTTGTGGTTGCTTCAGTACTGCCACCCTGCTGCACCACTGCCCAGAGGTACAGTAGATCTGTCCTCCCTTAACCCTCTGGAGGCCAGGTGGAGCAGTCCCACCATCAGCAGCCGGAGGGTAGTCAGCAGTGGTCAAGCCAACAGGAAGTCGGAAGTCACTCGCAGTGCTGCTTTGCCATTTGCCGTTTAATTTCTCTGGTTAGGTAAAGAAAAATCTCTGACATGATAGCTCAACAGGTTGTGAGTTGTCTAGTATTTACTAAAGGAGACTTGATCGGAAATGCAAATGCTGGTAAAAAAAGTGGGTTGGTAATATGAGCTGTGTGATAAGGAATAAAGATTAGTCCATAAAGGGAAAATGTCCTTGTATAAAATCATGTTCTGAGTACTTTGTTGTATGAAAGTAAGATCTGGGCAGGTCCCAAGTATACAAGTCAGTTAAGTTTTATGCAAATGAGATTTTTAAAAGACAGGTGTGTTAAAACAAAAAGAGAGAGAGAGTCAAGCATGAATGTGGACAGAACATAAAAGTGAGTGACTAAGGTGAAGGTGGTTTAGTTCTATAGAAAGCATGAATAAGGACCACATCACAAAACAAATATGTGAGGGAAGAATGAAGGACTTCAGAAGAGGGGGAAGATTGAGAAAGTCATGGTTGAAAGGAGTCGAAACATTTAAAGAACAAAAGGCAAAATATGAGAGGATAATCCCACTAATCCTACAGTCCTGGGAAAGCGTCCTTAGCATTTAAGTTTTATTTAATTGAAAATCAACTTTTCTACCTGTTTTAACATCTACAGGTAGTCAGCTTACAACTATTCATTTAGTGACCGTTAAAACACCATTGAAAACAGTGACTTACAACCATCTTTATGACTGTTGCAGCATCCCTGTGGTTGCATGATCAAAATTCGACCGCTTGGCAACTGGTTCATATTTATGACGGTTCCAATGTCCCAGGGTCATGTGACCTCCTTTTGCCACCTTCTGACAAGCAAAGTCAATGGAGAAGCCAGATTCACTCAACAATCATGTTTCTGATTTAACAACTGCAGTGATCCACTTAACAACTGTGGCAAGCAAGGTCCTAAAATGGGGCAAAGCTCACTTAAGAACTATCTCACTTAGCAAAAGAAATGGTAGGCTTAATTGTGGTTATAAGTGAAGGACTACCAAGGCTATGGTTTTCCCAGTTGCAAAATGTATGGCTGTGAAAGTTGGACCATAAGAAAGGCTGAGCGCCAAAGAATGGAGGCCTTTGAACTTTGGTGCTGGAGAAGACTCCTACGAGTCCCCTGGACTGCAAGGCGATCAAACTGGTCAGTCTTAGAGGAGATCAACCCTGACTGCTCTTTAGAAGGCCAGATCCTGAAGTTGAAAGTCAAGTACTTTGGCCACCTAATGAGAAGGAAGGACTCACTGGAGAAGAGCCTAATGCTGGGAAAGATTGAGGGCAATAGAGGAAGGGGACGACAGAGAATGAGGTGGCTGGATGGAGTCACTGAAGCAGCAGGTATGAGCTTAAAAGGACTCCAGAAGATGGTAGAAGACAGGAAGGCCTGGAGGAACGTTGTCCATGGGGTCATGATGGGTTGGACACAACTTTGCAACTAACAACAACACCTGTATTCACTTAGTCTTGTCATTGTTGTCCTTTCTGGCACCACATTTGTATTGTTTCATCTGTTTTTGTCCATGAATTTATTGTCCTGGGATTGTACAGTATAATTCATGGAGTGCTTAAAGAAATTCCTTTGGGAAGCATTTTGTAAATTAAATAAATTAAAGCATCAGCATTGTGACCCAGGCTCTTAACTATTTTAATGGGGACCCTTAGCCAGTAGGTGTCTCTGCTAAGCATTTTTTAAAAAGATAATGCTTTTGCAACGGACTAGTTGAGAGGCACCCTAGGCTGGAGTACAGAAATATGTTTACTTGCTGAACAGCAGAATATAAATTACATTCTGGCTTCCCACCTACTGAAGTATAGCTTGTAGACCACCAAGCTTGGCCTTGCTCCATTTCAGACTAGAACTAACAAAGACAAATTAGCCACCCTTGTCAAAAGATAGCATGTGTGCAGAATTTAAGCCACGAGCAGGTTACAGGGCAGTAAATCTAGAATCCAATTTGACTATGTGTAGATCACTGAGTGCAACAAGGTCTTTTGATGCATTTTTAGTCACCAGCTTCAAGATGGTTTATGTTGAGTCTGTCGGTGCCCAATCATTTAATCTCATAAGATCACGTCAATGATTGTAGGAATTCAGTCCTAACTGAAATCTAATATGAACTGCTTTAGAAACCATAAAGAAAATTTAGAATTAGGGTCTGGTTTACACGTCATACCCGGAAGAAGGTATCTGCAGTTCCAATTGCAAATCTGCAAAAATATAAAAAAAACTCTCGTACCAAGTTCTTTGTTTTAAATATCAATGTGTTCTTGGAGAACTCTCTGTGTAGTTCAGTGGCATGAGAATCTGCTGTGAATCCCAAATAGAGGACCCCTCCCCTCTGTTTTTGCTTTTATTTTAAAAGCAACCTTATCCTGTAGGCTAGACTGGATTAGCTCAAAATAATCAAGGCAAGTTCATGAGAACCTGGAAACTTGAAACATTGCTTCTCATGATGTCAAGCAGCTAAGGAAATCAAGAGATTCAGCCAATTCAAATGAATATAAAGATTTAGTGCAAGCTGAAACTCTCTAAAACAGTGTTTCTCAACCTTGACAATTTTAAGGCATGTGGACTTCAACTCCCAGAATTCCACAGCCAGCAGTGCTGGCTGTGGAATTCTGGGAATTGAAGTCCACATGCCTTAAAATTGTCAAGGTTGAGAAACACTGCTCTAAAAGAATCTGGCCAACTAACAGTCAAAGGGAATGAGCGGGAGATAAGAAAGGTATTCAAAGTTGACTGGACTCAGGTCTCTTGCGGGTGCGCAGGGACTCATGACTTATGACATGTTTGACCTCTCCCTTGGGCTCAGCCTGGTCATCTGATTTACTACAGGTAGTCCTTGAATTACAACAGTTCATTCAGTGACCGTTCAAAGTTACAATGGAACTGAAAAATGTGACTTATGATTGTTTTTCACACAGCCATTGCAGCATCCCCATGATCATATGATCAAAATTTGGATGCTTGACAACTAACTCATATTTCTGACGGTTGCAGTGTTCCAGGGTCATGTGATCATTTTTTGTGACCTTCTGACGAGCCAAATCAATGGCGAAGCCAGATTCACTTAACAACCACGTTACTAACTTAATAATTGCAGTGATTCACTTAACAATTGTAGCAAGAAAGGTAGTAAAATGGGGTTAAAGTCACTTAACTGTCTCACTTAGCAACAGAAATGTTCTGGTCATAAGTCGAGGACTACCTATACTATGGTTCTTATCTACCACTACTTTCTTTTGGCCAATTTTGGCTTGAACATTATATCCTTGTGTTTTTTTTTTTGTTGTTATTTTTAATCATTTTTAGAGTTATTAACTACACTGGTAAATCTTGTATGAAGCTACAAGGTAAGGGAAGAAGTGCCTTACTGAATAATACAAGCTAAAATAAAATAAGTGGATTGAGTAAAACCACTCTATAATCCAATGGTCCTTTTCGATATTGAGAAATAATCTTATCCTTTTCCGGTCTCCCATTCCGCCTCCTTTTCTCCCCCATGAATGTCTGCAATAAAGAAATATTATCACCCTTCCAACTCAACATTAAGATCCTCATCTGCATCGCTCCCGTTTAATTCCAGCAGGCAAATGAGCAAATCCATTGATTTTTAATGACTGCTCAGGCTTATTATTCAGCTAGCAAGCAGCTTTAATCATTTGACAGGAATGTCAGAGCCACAAAGAGGGAAAATGTTTTCCACTCAGGCGAAGGAGGGAGGAACATGGGAAAGAAGAGTTTTTGAAACTAAAAATTACAGCCTCCGGGCTGTCATCAGCATTGTTATGCAAATGCAAAGTGAAATTTGCTGGGACCGTTTCCTCTGAATTTTTAGCAGCAATCCTCAAAGGCACTCCGTCCAATTAGAGATGAAATGCTCAGAATATCAGGTATTGTTGTCAACAACACGGGGTTATAGTAACACGGTCTCCTAAGTGGTAAGACGTAGACTGCGGTTGGGTTGACTGAATTCCCCAAGGGGAAAAATACCAACAAGGTTTCCCCAGGTTCTTGTGTTGCAGAAGATCCCTAACTGAACCCCATAGAGGAGGGGTCCCCAACCCCCAGTCCGTGGACCAGTACCGGGCCACAGCATGCCAGCAACCGGGTCGCACAAACAAGCAAAGCCCCATCCATGGGATGCAGGCAGCACATAAAACCACATACCTTCCGGTCCGCGGAAAAACCTCTCTCCGTCCCTGGTGCCCAAAAGGTTGGGGACCTTTGCCGTAGAGAATTATTCTGGTTTTTTTTTCTCTTACCAGTGCTTAAAGAAATCCTGAGAGGTTCTTGTGCTTATGAGATGGCCCAAAAATACTCACGTTTTGTGGTACAATCCTCTTCCCAAACTTGTCGAGCACAAATAATTTTTATAAAATGTGTTAGAGAATTTTAATTTCTCTATTGGTGAAAAATAAATCAGAACCTCTCACAGTTGACTGCATTTAGCTGATTCAAATAACTTTATATTTATATAAAAATATTTACAATCCCATTCTTCTTTACAGCAACATAGCTTAATGAAGACTTCTTATAGAGACAGACCAGAGACAAAACTTTAGACTGGAAATCCAGCTCCTAACTCAATACTCTTTGCAC